ACCTGGTCCTGTGGAGCGTAATATATTGTTCGAACAACACGACGTCTGGAGATGAGGATACTTGAACACATACCAGCCTGGGTCGGCAAAAGAGAGAATCGATCGATTTAAACCTCAATCCTCGTCCGCATAATTGATACGAACCGCCAAGTGGGCGCGAGAGAGGCCCTTCAGGTCATATAGCAGACACCGACACATTAATCCAAAGGCCTGCGCAAACGGGTGCTAGCCACAGCCGAAACAGCGGCAATTTGTTCAGCAAAGCCCACTCGCTGCTGTCAAATGACGCTGGTAGACGCAGAATGCCTACGCTGGCCAACCACACGAGTGAATACCTTGCCACCAGAACAGACGTCGTCCAAAACCACTCACTCCGATCGTGAGAACACCCATCCCTCCCCCTCTTCCCTGTTCGCCTGAGTCAATAACCTCAACAGGCTGGCGCCCGCATGCGTGAGACGAGGGAACACCATAATGACTAATTACACCCCCCTACGCCGAGAAATATTTAAACACTACATATAACTGGTTATTTTAGTCCCTGCAAATGTGTTGGCCTGAAGAACATTTGCTGAAAACACGTGTTTGCCAAAATGACTTCTCAACTGTAATATTTTAATATGCTTTGCAGTCAAAACACGCTGCTACACGCAGTTTGCCTTCCTTGGCCGCCCACACGAGGTAATTCTACGCCGCAGAGAACTTTCACAGTGAGAAAATCCCCCCTATTTCCCAGTGCGCCACATCCTGCCTGCATGAGGCGAGGGAAGGCTGACATGGCCAATCACATTCATCCTCCCTACTACCCAGAGGACCATTTAACTGCACATAACTGACCGTGTTCTTCTCCATGTCACTGTATTGACTTGAAGATGAATGACCGAATACAATTTTATGCCAGTATAACTTTTTAATCGTAAAACAGGAAGGTTTGATGACAACACAACTTAGACTCCCACAATATCCTGTGTTTCTCTGCCTACACTGGATTAAACAAGAAGCATTAAAAAAAGGTCACACAAGGGGGTCGGTCTACAAATGAGCTGCACAGAAAATCACTGAAACTCACATTCTGGCAAGAGGGAACCGTTGAGCATGTTCGTTAAGGGGTCCGGTTCTGGTTGTGGCAGTAACTTACAACCCACTTCATCCGGCGAGTGTTCGGGGTCGTCTAGCCAACAGTCGGGGAAACCATCACAGAGCATGGAGGAGCGAATACAGATGCCATCCTCTGTTTCTTCCTCCTCTTTCTCCCCTTCGGCGGCGACTGCAGCGGGGCTGCACCAGAAGCCATAGAGATCGCACAATTCACGTTCTAGAGGCAGAGGGAAACCAATAGGGGAAGGATGAAGATACCGTGATTCTACTAAATAGCAAGCAAATGTCAGTCAATATCCTCCATGGTGGTTTTTCCCTGTACGGCATCTTGGCGCACCTCCATCGTGCGGATAAGCGTTAAGGGATGGAAGGAATAGAAAGAGTCTTAAAGTGTGCGCCGAAAAAAACTAAAAACAAAAAGCACTGTTTGATGAGCGTTCATCGATCGATAACGAGGCTTATTCAACACGCTTTGCCTTGGGTCTCAGTCAGCAGCCGCATGGCGGCCAGAGTTATAAATATAATTATGTTACCTAAAAGGCAATGGCAACCAGAATGGCCAGTTCTGGCTTATTAGGCGTCATCAGGAAGCTTTACCCAAACCCAGATGCACAACTCAAAGCTACAACCCACCACCTGCTTTCATCTTCTGCGCCAGGGGCCCGTTGTCAAGTTGGTTTAGAGTGCAATATAGGTATGGGTTTATGAGCGTTCGCAAATCCGTAATTGGACTCATTTGCCAAACAAAAAAATGAAAACATTCATGAACAGGATCAACAAGACAACAATCTCGTGGCTCAATGTTAAGAGCGTTGGATTTCTGACTAACAGCCTTATAGTTCGAGCCTCCGGTGGTGAACCACCTGGCTGGCTGGCTGGCTGATGATAGCCAACAAGCCAGAAAAAGTCATTCAGGTTCCCGACGTCCCGTCCACAATTTTCATCTGTCTGCAAATGCCACTAATGGATGGACGTCCACCGATGGGCTAAGGGACTCACTCACCCCGCTCTGCCTTGGGGATCCCTCTCGAGAACTACCAGGAGCTGAACAGTGACTAGTTTTATAGGGAAAGGAGCAGTATCGACGAAGAAGAAGAAACCCATTTCCGTCTGCCTTTTCGTTGCTGTTAGTGGTCCTCTGACAAAACGTTTTCTCCCACAAAGACCGAATAATTATTTAGACCAAAAAGACTAGAAAGGTCCTTTCTGAC